TGAAATAAAGAGATAAAAGCAATTACAGTGACGATGCACGATAAGAAAAGTAGAATATATTTCAGGGAAAAGATCGAAGAGAAAAAGTTGTCAAAATGCTTTAAAGAAGAGTCGATGAAAGCTATAGCATCTGCAGCGAAAGAAAGGTTGAAATTTGATTCGGATGGCATAATACCAATAGGTTTTTCGGGTATAACTGGTACATCGTCCACATAGTGCAGCCGCCCTTTGAGCAAAAATTAGGTGGATCCTCCCGGGCAAGCCAGTGTGCAATTTTCTTCCACTATTGAAGAGTAGAAAACGAACACAAGTCTGTTTATATGACCCGATGGAGTACAGACCGCTATCTGTTCTTGATTTCCACAGGTGACTTGAGCTGTGACTTCACCATTGCGTGATTGACACGAAATATTTGCGTATGCTGCCGATAAACAATTGTAACAGCCTACTATGTCCGACGTCGTGATGACGCATGTTGTGTTTTGCCGCTTCGATACCAACTTCATATTATCCGTGATGATATGTAGTTGTATAGCGCTTCCTATGTTTGTTTTAGCGACAATTTCATCTTGTTTTTGGAATATCATCACATTCTTCATGATCAGCGGTAAACTTGATGTCTGAAAATACCTTTTTCACTTCACCATCACTGCAAGAGCATGACGCATGATTCATTGCTGCTGCGCACGTGCAAACATCTGATGGGAAAGAGTATCTAAATGCCTCTGCTTCTGAGGCGTTAGCGCATTGTGGTTGTCCTATCGTGTGCGGGATCATTTGTCCTCGATAAACTGGCTTTATTACTGCGGTTAGGTTGCCATCTGTGACGAAAGTTGCACCAAAAATTGGTAGTTGTGGTAACATCGTTCCAATTAGGGATAGTCGCACGGAGTTCCAGTTGTAAGTTTTCCCCGGTTGCAAGCGAACATCAATGCTTTCAGCCTTTATTCCTTGTTGTTTCGTAACTTTTGCTTCTACTGTGAATTCCCACGCGGGGCAGTTGACAACTGTATACAGTTTTGGCGACTGAGGAAGTGCATAATAGCGATAAAAAAGACAACTATCCATGCAAAGAAAACAAACTCCACATGTCAGACAGCCACAACTGGCTGTGCAAAACGTGTAACCTGGGTTGTTATTGGCGGTTGGCGAAAGTTCTTCTATCTTGTCGGTTGTTTTGGTGGTGTCGCATGTATGTAGTTGGCAACTTCCTGCAAATCGACATCTATGAACAGATTCTACGGAGAACTGGTGATCCCGTGTGTGAAACTCAATCTTCTTTTGGCATTTGAAATGAACTCCCGTTATTCTTATGATGAGCATCCCAACGGGGTTGTTTTTGTTGTTTTTCATCACTAGGCACGTCTCTTGGTCGAGCGGTTGCAACGTCACAATTGTCGCTTGATTGAAAGTGCAAGTCGCATGCTCGTTGTTTTGAATGCAAGCTTCTTCGGAAGCCGAAAAGGACACTATTTCGGAGCAACACCTTGCCGATGCTGCAAAATAAAGAACGGCGATAAGAATCTTTCTGCGATGTCCTGTATAGAGGGGAAAGCGTGCGCTATACCGTCGGAAGAATGGAGAGCATATATGCTTCCAGTGAAGATTGTGCACTTCATCTCCAAAATAATATATTATTTTGGAGATGAAGTGCACAATCTTCACTGGAAGCTTGATCAGGAAAAGTAGGCTCTTAAGTGCTGGCAAAATCATACATGTCATGACTGAAAGAGCGAAGATTGAGCCGAAAATAGCGGCGACTTGTGTCCCTGTCCAGCAATCTGGATTATACAGTAGCTCCAAGCAGACTGTACAATCAGTAAGTTCACATACCGGGTATGATTGACATCTTAAGTCTTCTTTTTGAATGAGTGCTCCGTATGCCCACGACGAAATCGATACGGTGTACGCAAAGGCAACTAGACTATTCGGGAAAACGATGCTAGAGTTTTTTGGATTTTGAATGAAATGACAGTAACCAGCAATGCAGACTTCGCATTAGTTATAGTTGTAATGCTTAAACTGACTCCTCCTTTTGAGCAATGTGCCGACTTTTTCCCTAGTTTGAAAGGTGTGAGGTGACCGTAGTACTCTTTCACCGTGACTCCCCAAGCTTTCACTAAAAAGGATACGTTCGACGTTGTAAAAACAGCACTTGGTGTTCCAAATGTGCAAAATAATGCGGCATTGTCATCACATTTGTTTTCATTGCAAAAGGAGGATGATCCCGTATAGGGACGTTTTGCTTTTCGTTGCAGTCCGTTCTTGTCGAAACAGAGGTAGTCCGTGGAGTCGAGGTAATCCTTGATGGCAATGTGAAGTTCGGGCACCATTAGTAATGTGCCGTCGTATAATTCAACTTGATTGAACTTTCCTAAGCGTTTTTCTTTGTCGCATTCTAAAGAGGGTAAAAACGAGCACACGTGAGATGGAAGATACGTTAAATGCATTGGTATATTCTGAAGTTTTGAGGCAATTCGTCGGGGCTTGAGCTGAATGAGCATGACGTTGCCCATGCAGGACAAGGACAATGTGGTCCGCAAAGTCCTCTGTTATGTCGGAAGGGAATTTCTACCCGGATCACTCCATTAGGGCATGATAGCGGAAACCAGCACAGCTTTACCTTTCCATGAAAGGAGTGTCTTGCTATGGCCAGTCCCTTGCTGATACAGTTTGTAGCGTATATGATCGTCTTTGGTGTATTGATTTCCACTGGACGTGGATGTGCTCCTGACGAGTGGATAAGCATGAGTGTTAGCGTGGTGGTCAGTAGTAGATGCATTTGATTTGCTGCTGTTTTCGATCTTGTCATCATAGAATGTTGATTTTGTAGTACTCTTTATGATGTTTCCTGCCTGCTAGTGGTGTCCTCTGAAAAATCTTGTTGTTCCCCTTGAACTTCGAGTTTGTAAAGTAGGTTGATTGGTCGTGTAATTATGCGTCTTGATGGCAAGCCTATTTCCGCCAATCTCTGATATTGATCGTTAGAAGAAACGACTTGTCCGATCTTCCATTGACCTCGTTCAAGAGATTTCTCCTGAATTAAGACAAAATCATTTTTCTTTGGTTGTGCATTGACAGATATTCGTGGATGTGGATGTCTATCACGAAACTGCTCTCTGAGGCTAATTAAGTACTCTGATGTCCATCGCTTCCAGAACCTTTCCAGTATTGTGTTCAGAAACTTCCAGTCCTCCAATAATTTCTCCTTCGTTGTTGTTGCCGGGATGAAAGGTTGATCTTTTTCACCTATTCTCGGCGGAGAAAGTGTTGTCCATGGATGAATAAAATCAATAGGCCGTAACGGCATTGTTCTACCATCTTGTACAATGTACGTCAGAGGTCGGTGATTTACTATGGTCTCCGTTTCTTTTGCGAGAGTTCGTAGTTCTTCAATATGAAGTAACCGATTGTTCAAAGCATGCTTAAATGAGGTTTTGAAGATATGCACCATTTTTTCATATAACCACACTTGCCACGGGCTGAAGCTGGGGATAAATTTGAACTCAATCATTTTCTGTGCGCAGTAGTCTATGATGTCGTCATCTTCGTTGTTCTTCAGCTGTAAACAATCTTGTAGTTCATTGATTGTTCTGAAGCTCTTCGCATTGCAAGTCGCAAAGAATCCATCTCGGATACGCAGTGGTGGCGAAAAATCGTCGTAGTGCTTGGAACAGAGTCTGTGTAGTCATGTCCAAAAGTAGATCAACATCTTCTAGCAAATCAAGTGCGTCTTGAACGGCGGTGCTGTAGTCTCCATATTTCTTCACATAATCATTGAATATCTCCTCTTCGGCGGTGTCGGATGAGCGTGCATTTGACCACTGCTCGTCGAGTTTTTGTATCTTCACGTAAGCATTGTACAGCTGCGAACGCTGTTCTACTAGGTCACTTCTGAAGTCTGCAAAATCCTCGTCTTTTGGATGAGTGAACTGGGGGCTGCTTTCATCAATGTTGTAGTCATCAAGAACTTGCTTGGTTATCTCGCACAAATGCAGAAGTCGTTTTTTCGTGATGCCAATTTGACGGCGAATGCTGCCACTGTTGAACTCCATTACTGGAAGAAAGCCTTGACTTGGAGATGTTGAGGGATACTGCAGCCCGGGTTTGCGAAGTTGAGGCGTCGTCCTTCTCAAGGAGCTGCCGTGGTCGCCATTTACACACTGTGCTCGGAAGCGTTTATTGATAACGACCGCGTGCTTATATATTATCTCTATCAAAACATCAGCGAAAGCATCATCTAGAAAATCTACATACTATGCAGAGCGAGGAGCATCAAATCGTGACTCATTCTCCCGAAGTCAGCCATAACATGAACATAAAACAACTGGAAGAAAAGGAAATTCTGTAGAATTACAGAAAAATATCAGTAATTGTCGAATAATTTGTATTGTAGGACAATTCAAAGCAGTGAGATAAAACTAGATCTGGATCTCACCTAGGACACTGCGTTGGTTCAAGAGTCCGAACTGGCAAGTTTGGCCATGTCGGGCACGGCAGGCCCGATCTCGGAAGTTCGGGCTCTGCTGCCCGTTCAGACCATGCTAAATAGCCTCACAAAAATCACGGTTTGAACGCTCTCGCGAACTGCTCACTCAGCCTTCAAGCTTCCACTGGGTAGTGCTCATTGGGGACATGGACAAGCAAGAGGAAAGGAAAAGCCAAGATGTTGCAAGAAATCAAACTCATAGTTTAGCATGAAAGCACCATGGTCCTTGTTGAGCTGGTTGCTAAGCACATTAGAATTTTCGATTAGAAAGAAAAACCATTTTTTTGTCGGTTGTCTTGACTCCTCATGATTACAATCGCTTCGTGTTATTCTCGCGCTTTCGTGCTTTTGCTCCTTTGGTGCCTCTTTCTCAAGGCATTTAATTGGCATTTCTGCGAGTCAAAGGCAGCAATTGGGTTGCATTGCGATAGTACCATGAGTAGATCTTAGGCATGTCTACACGACTGTTCGTGAACAGGTTTTACCGATGTTACGCCAATATGGAAGACTTCTACTGCGATGATCTGATCTTTATACACACTAGATTCCGAGAATATTGCACTACTCGATATAAAACATATGACATTTTCTGCCTGTAAACTGGCAATTAGCGATGTGACATCCGCGCCGTCCAGCAGCTTTCCATGCATCATACCGATTTAGTATTTCCCGGTTGAATTCGTGGAATTCTGCTTCAGACAAAATTGCTATTTGCTCCCTGAACAAACACAAAAAGTGCAATGAATAGAAGTCTGCAACGCACCTGGTGAACCACCTGCAATCGGCTGTCTCTGATGGACAAGGTCTGATCACTAGGTCTACTGCATCCATTAAGCAAATGAAATAAATATCTCCCACATTTTCAAACTGGGACACTTGAACTTGTCTGAAGGTTTGAAGCACAGAGTTCTGTGATCAAGTTCACAGCTCAATATCTCTAAGCCTCACCTGAAGCACAGCAACGCTTTTCCAACTGCGGTCACTCCGGTTTCTTCCAGAACTTCCCGAGCAGCTGTATCAAAGATGCTTTCATTTGGGTCTGACGCGCCTCCGGGAAATTTCCAGCCAAGATAGCGACTACATGGAAACATATCAGCATTGAACGCGTATGGGTAAATAACATACCCACGCTTTTCCCTCATCAATAGTATCCTATCATCGCAGTCCACAACTAATCCGCCAACACCGATCATAGTGTGTGCATATCTACATTACGTGATGTTAACGACCTGCAAAAGGCACTGAACCTAAGACAACCTAGGGATAGTAGATGGAGTATTTGGAAGCCATTTTGTCATTACCAGATATTCCGATTGTGCATGGTGAAAAGTAAAACCATAGTCCACTAGCACTGGGATGAGTGAGCTATCCTAAATGTGTACATATCGAAACAAAGTTTTATATATTCAAGTATGCCAATAACTGAAGTCAAAATATGCAATTACTGCACGATGTTTCCATACAATCGGTTTCGAAACCTCAATATACTAAGCCAAATATGTACCCTCGATGTCAACTCATATGTCTTTCCTCAACATGACGTGGTTACGTGGACTAGTGAGGCGCCGCCTCGCTTCCGGCTTGCGCCACGTTGCGTGCCATCCTTGGCGTAGTGTGGCAAGAAGAACAACGTGGAGAAGCCCGTACCACATTGTTTAAGCGCCACGTCACACCAAACGATGCGCCCGCAACGTAACTCAAGCCCGAAGCGAGGCGGCGCCTACTACACGTAATCACGTAATGCTAAGGGAAGAGATATGGGTTGATGTCAAGAGTAGCTTTTCTTGCACGCCCTCGTCAGCACTCAGAAATCCGCGCTACGCGGGCGACCAGCGATGACCGCATAATGTATATATGTCAAGAATAACGATAGCTGGCAATAGTGGCACCCTGAGCCCGCGGGTGTCAATAAACGGTGCACTGGTAGCACCGCCCCAACAGCGGACAAGCTCATGCAGGCCCTACATTTTAACACGTTGACGACCGCGCCATTTTGGGCGAAACTCCCACTAACGTCCTTAGCGCATTTGGCCCGTGCATACGCGCGGATGCATGAAAACATTATGTGGGAGTCTTTTTGTCACTTATTAGTAAAAAATGCGAACTTTATTCAGACATACAGGTATATCACAGAGCCTTACCAGGACTTACACAAATCAATGTTTTTGCATCGATTTTCCCTCCAATAATCCATGTAATGGCTATATCTAAGGAATCGCTCTTCGAGAAAAGCGTTGTAAAACCATATGTTTTTTGCCTGATACATCTTTGTTTGATTTCAAAACAGCTATACAGAGTTTTCACCTTCTCGAGAAAACGTAATTAGCATGTATTGATTACATCAAAAACGTACTGATTACTCAATTTTGCGTCCAAAACTTCTGAACAGCTGCCGCGATGCCCTGTGTTCTGTAAGACAATCAGGCCACTAATAGTATTACTGCATAGAAGTTACCTTAAAACTTTTCGTTTGCACCTAAAAAACTAGCGTGCATATGCGCGGATGCACGAAAATGCTCAACGGGAGTCAGGGCGTGCATACGTGCGGATACACAAGGTCGTCAACGTGTTAAAGCAGTAAATGCCCAAAACTTTATTCTTCTTCAAAAATGCTTTATATTAAGGCTTCTGCTATTTTAAAGATGAAGATAATCAGCACATCGCCATAAACACGCGACAGAAATATTTTAGGCTCAATTTAGCATGTGAAATACGTACATAAAGGCACCGTCCACCCAAATTCTCGACTTCCATGTTTTTGTCGCTTCCGGGCCTTCTGAAGGCCCTGATTTCGAATATGAAGTCGAGAATCCCAAAAACCCCTATTTTGGAGAAAGCGGGACGGGTGGAAGTGCAGTTTGCAGGGCTGCGGCGCGGTTATCGCCCGGCGTATATCAGCGCCGCAGCCCCCAAAGCTGCAAAATGGGCGGAGTGACCACCTCTGGATCACGTATCACGTAACTTCCAGAGCGGATTTCTCGCTCCGGAAACAATCTTTTGTGGGGAAACTTGGGGGTTGGCCTAGTGTGGGGGCCCACATTAGCATGCCATTGAATCTCGTGAACCCTCACTTTGGGTGGACGGTGCCTATAAGCTTCTTTGATCGTTGTAGGAAACGAACTGCAATGAAGAGAACTGAAATTTAAATAATTTATCTCAACTTCCTGAATGAGTGGGCGGGCTGTTCTGTGCGCGAGAGCAGCTGGCAGCTAGCGACTGGCAGAGCTATCGTTATTCTTGACCGTCACCCCCGCATAATCGCTCAAGCGTGGATTGTATTCTCGCCAACGGCCAATTGAGTAAGTTCGAGTGGAGACTATATGTCGCCGAAATGGGGCGGCCTTCGCGGTCATCTGCAACAAATACGCACCCTTTCACATGCATGGAGGTGCGTTTTTGCAGGGAGTCCGCGCACCCACATACATTCGGCGATAGATAGTCCACCCATAAGTTTCGACCAGCTTTAGGCCGTGGGCACACCTCACGCGAGTTCAGTCGCCACGCAATCTGGCCATTTTCCAGATGTCTTCAAATTCAATATTGGCAGACCCGAAACGCACAGCATATGAACTCCCGTAGAATGATAAAGTGCTCTACCTGCCGTATATTCAGAAACCCCTTACGATGAGTTGTGAACAATTGGAGTATTGCCAAATGCATCGCGACTGAAATCGCATGAGGTATGCCCGAGACTTAGCTGAAATTGGGTTGGCGGGCGTCAACCTCGCAATGGTTTGCGCCGTTTCCAGTTACAGTACATCATATCGTGCTGCGAACCCAAGTCTGCGTCTCCTCTTTCTCCTTAGTTCTTGGGCAAAATGCCAGCGCTAAGCGCTCGCTAAATCCAGCGATGCATACGCGCTGCTCCACGTAGGATGTCTCACCTGATCCAGGATGAAACCGACTGTACAAATAAGGTGGGCAGCGGTCGAGAAGAGATCAGCTCAAACCTTCTACGAAGCAACGTGGCAACGCGACGTCAAAGTACCCTCGATATCAACCCATATGTCTTTCCTCAACATGACGTGGATTACAAGGATTGATGAGTCGCCGCCCCGCCTCGGGCTTGCGCCTTGTTGCGTGCGCATCTTCGGCGTGACGTGGCAACAAGAAGAACGTGGAAAAGCCTGCGCCACATTGTGTTAAGCGCACGTCGCGCCAAACGATGCGCTCGCAACGTGGCGCGAGCCCGAGGCGAGATGGCGCCTCATCAAGCCACGTAATAAATGTCATGTTGGGGCGAGACATATGGGTTGATATCGAGGGTATATATCGTCCCTTACACATTTGCTGCTACCCTTCTGGCGTCTGCACGTGCCACATGTGACTAACACGTTGGGAACGTTGGCAGCAAACGTTGGCAGCGTGCAGCAACATGTTGGCGTGGCCAAAATGTTCTGCCAACATGTTGTGGCATGTTGCAAACATGTTATTGCCACGTTGCCAATATGTTAGCCACACGTGGCAGGTCTGAGACGCAGACCAAGGGTAGCAGCAACTGTGGAGGGGACGATACATGATCCAGTACTGCTTCTGCAATGTTACTTATCCTCCACCACTGGGGGCGATGGGTGAGTGGGTCTGTTCCTCCGCGGCCGCCTTTGAGCGCACATGGTCGGCCGCCGACCTGGGAACGAAACTGAGTCGCCCCCCAGGGCCAACCGATTGAAACATGTTGTCTTTCGCGCACTTGAAATAGCTGGATATAAAGTCGATTGCACGAAATCGCCCGGGTCGTTGTAGCTCAGATAATCGCCGGGGGCAAGCGGCCATGCGAATTTTGAGCAAGCGGGCACCGGAAAAATAGTTCGCTGATTTTTTGTGGTCCGCTTGCAGAAATTTGGAATAATTTTGGTCAATTTTCAGACGAACGCTCGAAGATCCATCGCGGTTTTCTTATACATAAGTTGCGGCACAGTGGCCGCATTCTCGCGGATTTTCCGCGAGAACATGCAAAATTATTGAGGGCCGCACGGTCCTTTTTGAAGGACCGCACAGCCCTCAGGTACTTTCCGCTGGAAGAAAGTACCCCAAACTTGGGTAATAAAACCATCGATGACACCTCTGCCACATAGAGTCTCATCTTTTCTCGGCGTACGCCCGAAACTGCGTAAAAAGAGTCTGAGCGCCTGTTGAAAGTTTGGCCAGCGCTCGCTGAAAGAGATTGTTTGACGAGCGCTTGCAGAAAATTTTGTATTGATGCCCGCTTGCAGAAAACGCAAATACCGCCCGCTGAAGATTTGGCCACGCCCCGAAATCCTGCTGACCGCCTGCAGAAAAGCGCGAGTTTGCGGACCGCCTGCCCCCGGCGATTATCTGAGAGGCTGAACGCACGCGAGCTTGCCTGCAACGCGGCTGCTGAGTACTGGCGCTGTAATGACTGCGCAAATGTCAGTGTTAGTTCGCAAGAGACACGCGCGCGGACGTTCAGCCCGGTCGATTCCGTGCAGTCAACTATAGCAGTCCTTTACGGTAATCTTTCTCACTGTAAGGTATTGTTGTGCAGCATTTGACGGCTAACTAATCACTTCGGAATAAGCACACTGTACCGCGACTTCAACTTCTTTGATCACTTTGTATAGTCTTCGCTTCGAAAAAGCATCAACGCAGAGACTCTGTATTGATGACTGTTATGTGCTTTAACAGTGTATTTCGCTCTTCAGAAGTCACAGAAGCAGAATTGCTGCGTTCGTCGCAGTCGGAAGTTGCGTTAGGTCGGATATCGACCACTTCCTCCTCAAAAAAAGGGTTTCACTGTAGCGTCGTAGAGTCGTTGCTATTGCAAGGCTTACATCATGTTTTCTGATAGTTCTGTTTACCAAACATCTGACGTACCGTTTTAGCTCAGTCAATGGCAGTTGCCACTTCAAAATTTCATAACAGTATGGTGCAACAGCATATTTTTTCCACATTTTTCGAGATGGGAAACTAAAATCTTCAAAGCGACCTTAACACAAAGTGAAAATTGGGCACGCCCGTACTGCAGATCTCACTGGCTTACAGTACCGGCGTGCTCAGTGGGCTAAGACTAAAGCAAGCAGTTGTCACTGGGGGAGAAACTTAGAATCTGAAGTAGGAAGCGTCAATTGTGACGTCATGACCAGGGTCGAGCGAAAAGTGTGAGACACAGCCGCTGGATACGACTCCCCCCCCCCCCCTCGATCCACTTCGCTATTGGTTGGTTTGCTGATCTGACCAATAGCGAAGCTCAAGCGGATCAAGTATGGCGCGTGCCTCAGATAGGAGCCTCTCATCAGTTTCCAAGCAAAAAAGCCATGGACCCAGATGTGCCCGGACACTGCCTTTAATATAGTGTGCTTACATAGATGAAATGCGGTAAGATTTGCGCATAAACAATTAGCCACGCCAGTAATGCCGGCATTCTGCGCGCGCAATTGGAAGGCGTCACAGGCGTAGCTATTTCTTCAAGTGCAAATTCTACCGCATTTCCTACAGTGCAAGCACACTATATTAAGGAAATCTACTTGATTGGAAGGTAATGTGTGTGGTTGATTGATGACTCTAAAACCATAACTCTTCTTTTGCTTATGAAGAAATCTCAAAAATATCAGTGTTTTCTGTTTATACCTAAAGAAATCAATGACTTTTTGGCTAGTTAAATTCTTTTTGATAATAAATTCGAACTTAATAACAAAGCTATAATGCTGACCTCGATCCTAACTATGACCCATACTCCTCTGATGTTCCTTTGCTTCCAGTCATTTAGAGATTTCGATATGATGCCCGCGAATAGATCCTTTTGCTTCTGAGATGTGTTGAGATCTGATGTGCTCACAGTAACGCCATCATAGATATCAACTCTTTCCTTGAGATGCATTCGAAACCTGAATCCAGCAGCGCTTGCAACTTCAAAAAAGGCACTGGAGAATGTGCTATCCAGCATGGCGCATAATTCTGGCAAGAAATGTAATATGTTCTTTCGAAACGCTAATCTCACATACAGGCTTTGTCAATGAGTATCACATCGTGGAGTTTGCAGAAGTAGACATATGATCGGCTCCCAGATTCGTTATATAGCATTACTTTTCGTACTCTCTCGCTAGCAAAAACCGCTACGCTATGAGTTGGCAAGACTCCACCTCCACAATCTGGAAGCCGATGATAATCTCACTTGGAGTGAGCTCGATTCCAGCAGCTCAGGTCCTACATCGCTGCCTAGCTTGGGCCCCGCATGCGTTCACGAACGTGTTGTCCGTTTGATCAGGTGGAGGCTATATGTCGCCGAATGTGGGAGGGCCCGCGCGGACTTCCTGCAGGAACGCATCTCCGTGATGCAAGAGTGCGTACTTCTTGCAAAGAACCGCAGGGACTGCCTCTTTTCGGCGACATATAGTCCGCTACCCATCTGATCATTACCCCACATCTGAGCGTGGAAGTGCCCAGAGTCAGGCTTCAGCTGTAAATCAGTTGTGGGAGATAGCCAGAGAACACGCTGCACTCGATGCAAGCCCAAGTGAGGCAACCGCGCGAGACTCGAGATTGTTTCAAGAACAGTCAAGAGTTTTTATGTTTCGCAAGGAGTAGTTCTCGGCAAACAAAGCCAGCTATCTTGCTTCCCACCGAAGCTCAACGCGAGCGTAGAAATCCTAATAAGTTCTCAGGAAAAATATATAACAAGTCTGGCTATCGTGCGCTACGACATTAGGACTTATTTAGTAGGAGAGTTCCAGTTTGCAGTGCATAGACCACAAGACACAAGCACGAAAACCACTATAATACAAAATACACACAAATTACAACAGTTGCATGCACTGATACTTTAAAGGCAGCGTCCCACCAGACTGGGGGTACCTGGCTCTCGTAATGATGTAATAGTAGACCCCCTACCTACGCGATGACTGAAGTTCGGAGCGAAAAAGGGGGTCTACCAAGCCTGAAATTTGCTCCGAAAGTGGGCCGAATCTTACGGTAGGATCGGGCGAGTGCGAGGTGCACGCAAGGTAGAGACGCAGAGTTACTGCGGGTCCCTGCACTCATGATGTGTGCGCTATATGTGCGTATATATACGCACTCTGGCCCTGCAAATCGATATTGCCGTGTGGGCGGCGTTCGGCCCTACCGTAAGATTCGGCCCACTTTCGGAGCAAATTTCAGGCTTGGTAGACCCCCTTTTTCGCTCCGAACTTCAGTCATCGCTTAGGTAGGGGGTCTACTATCACATCATTATGAGAGCCAGATACCCCCAGTCTGGTGGGACGCTGCCTTTAAAGGCAGCGGCTTGGCAGATTCTCGACACGAAGTTTTCTTGCTTATCTGGGGTAATTCAAGGCGCTGATTCCGAAGATCCACCTTGAAGAGCGCGAAAATGGCAAAAACCACCATTTCCCAAGGCCTTCCATTTTGAATTTGGACGAGTGACCACGTCCCGCCATGGTTAGAGAGGCAGAATCGCTGCGGGACCCTCGCAGTTATGACATTGCGACATGCCTTCTCTGACGGGTCAGGGAGATTCGCAAGCTCGTCCGCGCGTACTAGAATGGCTTGCGCGTAACGGGATTTTCTAGGCAAGGGCAGCATGCTGTGCGCTCGGACCTGTTCTGTTCTCATGTTTAGGGTGCAAGCAGACCTTCCATGTCAAAATTTCGAGATGTTCGGTTTCGACGAGCTGCTGCATTTAACACGTTTCGGATCGATGCTGCACATGGTGCCCTGCGAAGGATCTTTTTGACGTTTACAGATTTTCTTTTAGTCCAAGATTATCAAGTCAAAGGCCTAAGCTCCTACTTTTCAAATGACTCTGTATTTGCTTGGGAGTATGAGCACAAATCGAACGACAGTCGCAACAACGTGCGACACGCGAACGACGCGTGCGACGTCGCAACTTCTCCTTGCTTCGATTTCAAAGAGAAAACCGCATTTTTAACACTGATGTATACCGTCAACAAGATACTTTTGGATACTAAGTTCTTGTTCCTATCTATCAGAAAAGCACAGAAGTCCTTCATGAAGCGACAAAACTTCAACGCTGAATCCATTTGGAACTTTGAGTATGGAACTAATCTGATAGCTGATTGCAGATGTAGCACAAAGTCTACGACATAAAGTCCCTCTGTTGGCTAATGGCTAGAGGTGCACTCTTTTTCGCCGCGCGGATTTCGCGGTCCGGAACGGTTAAAACCAACGTGCGACGTTGAGCCTGAAACATCATACGTGCGAAACAAATAGAATTAAGATAAGAGTCCACAGTGTCTTGAAAACTGAGAATCATTCATTTGGACAAGATTATGTCGAAGTGGATCGAATATAAGAAGCCGATAGCGAAAACGGGAAAGCAATTGCGCCTGCGCAACACATTGCTCCATATTTTACGCCTAATGCATTCTCCTTTTTCGGTTCCCATCAGTATCTACCAGTATGGCCGTGAGAGACGCTGAAGTTAATCGTGAGAAATCAATTTCCAAAGCAAAGTCCAAAGCAAAGTCTAGTGAAGAAGTGAGAATGAAATTCCGAGGTTTTGATTGCTTTTCAATTTTGAGTAGTGCCGGGCCTAAAAAATTGCGTCTCTATGTTAGGTTGTCCCAAAAGTTTTATCGGTTTTTTTCACCGCTATAGAACTACGCACGATAAAGACCTCAATGAATTCCAACATGCAATCAATGCAGTTTTTTCCTTCCCTTTTTTATGGTTGCATTTCCAAGACACAATCCTGTATGCTATTGATATTTGACACGATTCTTCACCCGTCATTTTTATCTGTTCAAAATTAGGCCAATTTTCAAAATCTCATTCCAAATTTCCAGAAAGGGTTAAGTATGGCACAAATAGAACAATTTTCGGACTATGCAGTAGCATTTCTAGATTCTCCGAGCCAACTATTTTTGGTTTCAAAAAATTATCACTTCGGAGGTATCTTTTGCAAAGTCATGAAACATGCATCTGCAGCAAAAACCTGGACGTTTTTGATTCTGCGAATTGCGACTTGATTGCTAATGAACAATATTCATGCAACGTAACCAAGTTAAATTTGTTTTGAAAAATCGGCTTTTGGAGTTTTCGGTAACTTTACGTGGTAGACATGATCGAAAAGCCGCGGTTTCTTTCTGAATAAATAATTATTTAGGATTGAAAAACGTGGCACTTATAATCTAAATTAAGTACAATGTAGCCAAAGACTTGCTTTACATGACGGTTATTAGCGCTCTATAAAAATAGCAGGAGAAAATTTTCTAAAATTCAGGAAATATTTGGCGTTACTCGAGCTGCTCAAAAAGCCATTAACATTGCAAGGACAGGGTAGATCAAAGAGCGAATATAGCTGTGAGAAAGAGGGTAAAAATCTGAATCAAATGGTACCTAAGTCGTTGCGATGAAAAAAAAAACAAAACTTTCGACAACCTAATACATTTCAAGCAAACCTCAAGATCAGAATCCATTGAATTTGGTGTTCTGGCCCGAAAGAGAAACTGTAGACGAATGAGTGTGACTTACTGATCGAAGAATATGAGTCTTAGTATTTATTATGCAGTGAGCAAAAATTGCACTCTAACCGACGACAGCCGGATTTGCACGGTTTGTAATGAGTTCATCGACAATATCATCTGTTCTGATGTTGTGATTGTTGAGGCTGGGTAAAATCTGCGCGAAGTTGAGATCTATGTCGTTGAAGCGTTCGAACATATGCGCCTGAGCAAAACCGCTTTCAATACTACAAAATAGTGAGAGAAGAAGAACCCACCTTGAATGGAAGTCGTTGGTCCGTGCTTGGAATTGGAAGGGATATTCTGGTATGGCTAATGTCAACAAGTTCTTCATCCCTTTTCATGAGAGTTTCTTGTTGATAATCAAAAATCTTAACTATGGTTGATCTATATCAGCGTTTAAGAAAGAACATAGAACGAGTTCAGTTGATCAAAATAATATAGAGTACAAAAATCCAAATTAACCTCATTCAGTCCTGGAATAGGTATATCCACGGCCACCGCATGACTTATGTATTTGGAATCATCAAATTCAGCACCAACTATGAATGAGTTCTGCAATACAGCATCACACAGAAGATACTAAATAAAAGCAATTATTTATCACCTGGAATGGCTGATGCATACCATCCGTGTATAAGTGTGGCATTTGAGCATACTGCCGATAATGATTTCGTAGATCCAGTCCTGGGAAAGACGATGAGTTTACTGTTCAAGCACTATATTATGTTATGACCAGCTTTTTGCCGTCTGCTCACTTTTCCAATCATAAAGTACATATCGTACATTATCTACGAGCGAGTACGCTTTCCACAGTTTGTCTAAACCAGCTTAACACGTTGACGACCGTGTGCATACGCACATATGCACGCCCTGACTCCCGTTTAGCATCTTCGTGCATATGCACGTATGCACGCTAGTTTTTCAGATGTAAACGGCGGAGCGCATTGATAAATCCAAACCTCGACCAAGGATGCTGGAAGTTGGTAGCCTTCATCAATTTTTCGATTTTCTAGGCGTGGAACATCTTATGCATGTGATGCGTTCTACCTCATAAAGTGGCGCGTTGTGATCGTAGTAATCTCTTGAAGGTTTGCGTTTTGTGGTAGATTGGGTCTATAGTGACTCTACAGCAAACTACAGCTGCTCTAGATTCTACAGTTGGGCGCCTTTAGCAGAGTTCAGCTTGGAGACTGAAAAGTATAAGAGAAACTCCTACCCAGAAAATTTACACCCTGTACGGCGTAACCAGCACCCCAGGAATCACCATAATCCAAACTGGATGCAACGCCTGTCATATGAGTGAACGGATTAAATTGAGCATGTCCGGAAAAGTCCTTTTCTTGTCCGGGAAGGGAGACATCAGGCACAGACTGCGTCTAAATTACCATTGTTACAGGCGCGAGGTTGCGGAACTACGAAAAATCACTGCAAATGAGCTATTTTAAAAGTCATTAAATAGCGCGAATTGTAATGTCATTCACGTCATTCACCCCAATATGTCACGCATATTGAGGTGAATGACTCGACGATATATCACCTTATTCATATAGCTAGATGTTTATCTATTTGTCTGTTGGTCTATGCTTATGTTCATACAAAACTCATTTATGAAGCGATCCGGACCAAACTTTGTATGTATACATTTCGGGGCTTGGTGAGGCTACTCTTCGTTATTGACCAATCTCAACAGTTTTTTTGCAAACTGTGGCTGAGAGTTGGCACAAGGCCTGCACGAGGGTGGCAAATGTCAAGCTGAAAATCGTTTCAAAGTAAAAAGCAAAGGATCTTTACATGTATCTCATAGGCTCCCAGACTGCTGTGGAGGTGGAGTCTTACCATCTCAAAACGTGGAGGTTTTCGATAGCGAGAAAGTACGATAAGGATTGTTATAAGGGGCCGGGCATACATTACGCAATTTCATCCCTCGTGTTTCTCTCAACAAGATGACTGTTATGAGTACTGCATGCAGATCATTTTGCATGGTAGTTGTGGTAGTTTTCGACTCGACTAATCGCGAATAACTACTGCAACTGAGATGATCGGCATGCAAGGAACTCGTAACAGTTGTCTTTTCGGGACAATCGCAGGGCGATCAAATCATGTGATGTATGCCCAGCCCTTGTCGTGGAGGTTCAACAAGTGCATCCCTAATAACAGACAAAGTCCGAAACCCGCCTCTATACGAATCCGGGAGCCGATGTTACATGCACGCTCTCGACAAATTCATACTGATTGAGATTCAAAAACGGTCTCGCTCACGCGTCATCAAAAATTCCAACTTAATATTCAGTGAGTAGCAATCAACTGCGTCGTTCAAGCGCAGGCATAAAGATATGACTTCAAATAGGACTATAAATGGACAAGGGCTAAAGAGAGCATAGTGAGGTATTGTGGAATTATTATGTGAGGAGATAGTCACAAGTTTTTTTCCTGGAAGTTTTTATCAGTGAAAAGTGGAAAAATGACTCGTTTGCAACGCACAGATAGCAATTTGGTTTCTATGGTTTGATTTGGTTTCTGGTGTCTATATGCGAAATAGGGAGTTAGAAAAATCGTAAACGGAAATGGCAAAAGCGAGTTTGTTTCACAAGCCATTTGTCACCCTCGTGCCGGCCCTGAGTTGGCGCAGTGGACTAACTGAAATGCTGATATGAGATTATCATTCGGAATAATCGACTATCATCTATTCTCTGACTAAGAGACACAGGCACGCTTTGCGTAGGTCAGATTAACATGATGTTCATGCCTTCTAACGCATTTCAGTAATATTAGAAACAAGCTGGCATACCCGGCTTCGCTCGCACCGTGGGTTAAACTGGCTCAACTAAGAGCAAGTATTATGCGCCTAAAGGTTTTGACTTATCTGCGTTCCTGCCTTCTTCTGCTATTCTTGGGGCACAGGGCAGATACTTTCTTACCGCACCGCCTTGATTTTCCGCATCTCCTTCATCGTGAAATGAAAATGAGTTCTACTGCAATTGTTTACGCGAAAATTGGAAGCGCCTTGACAATAAATGATAAAAGTTCATTTTTATCATTTTGTATCACTATTTTTGTCCAAATCGATAAATCGATAGAAGAAGTGGGATTCGCCGCGAAAAGTCTACGGGATGGACCGCTGTCGAAAACATATGTACGTGTGCAAAGTTTGGCGGTGATCGGTTCATACACAAAAGTTTCTTCAAAGAACACACTAACCAACAATTTACCAACACTCAGTTTTATATATGTAGGTATAGATAGATCGAGTAACACTATGCTCGGACGCTAAAGAAGGCGATGAACATGTTCTTTCACGAATTTCGGTACTTTTCCGTTATTCGGACCCATTTCAAAAAGCTTTCATAAATACGTTCTGCAGTCTAAGACAGGGCTCGGCACGAGGTGGCTAGATGAAAATGGAAAAAACGAAGTCCCCCTTGACTTTTGGGAATTTTTACGAAGTCCCCTTTGACCCTCAACCAAATTTCCTCTAAAAACCTGAAAAATTCCCCAAAATCCCCCAAAAAACGAAACGTCGACTAAAAAAAAAGGTCGCCGTCGCCAATTTTCCGTGTCTCTTCGGTCACAAAAACGAAACCCCCTTTGCTTTTCGTCCCAAAAACGATATACAGCTTGCTTGTAAGCCACCTCGTGCCGAGCCCTGGTCTAAGAACAATTTTACATGATTTCACGACTGCCTTCCCGCCAAGTGTTAGGAAATCATTAACACATTTCAGTCCATTTTCATGTTTTTTCGAAATTCGGTGAGGTAAAAGAGCATTTGTAATCACCAAAAAGCTGTTCAACAATTTTCATAGAGTAAAACAATCAGAACCATTATCAGAATATTTCATTTGCTTTTAGCAACGATTCAAGAACCAATTTCTCTTCAAATTTTCCGCCATGCGAGTTTAGCGAGGAAAATTTTTAAATGATGGCTTGAAGTAGTTCCTCGCTGCTGGTCATTGGTAACAGGGTGATGTTATTATCAGCAAGTGTTCATTTCTGAAATTATTCAATCGAAAATGGGGTCAGTATTGACTAGAAAATGAACTTATGTTGCTAGGTAGGGCAAAAGCTCTTGGTAAAACTTGTTACACATGTAGATGGCATGTCAAATTTCTTTGATATGTGGCCTTTCTAGGAAGTTGGGACCAAATATAGTGGTAGGAAAGAAGCCTTACCCTTCTTTGAAAAAATGGGTCCAGATAGTAAATTATCAGAGCGCATTTAAAACACGCATTTAAACTTGTTAATCAAACGTACGTAATACTAAGAATACTCGTGTCTTGTTTGTCAGAGAATGAATTACTTCTTTGATTTTATCGTTTGCAAACTTTGAGCTCCGGGGCTAAGAACGGCACAGCGATGTAAGGAAGCATGCTGACACAAATGTAATAATCGTTTGTAAACATGCTCATATTTCTATCGACTTTATCGATTTTTCACAAAATCTACTCTGGAGATGGGAGCCGACAAAGAGGGTCAAGCCTTGTCACCAGTGTAACACTAAATCGGAGAAATATCCATTGCATTTATGAATTTCTTTTCTTTTTTAATTTCGAGCCTGAGAGCTGGAAATCTGTGCAGAGGGTAGATGAGCATGCTCATTACAAACACAGTGGGGCAAGGAGCCGGCGTAGGAGGGAGGGAGAGGCAAGGAACTGCGACGTAGAACTCAGATAGTCGAAGGGATACCTCCGGCGGGCAAATGGCGCGAGTCTGCCACTTCGCGCTCTGGGCGCTTCGGAGCCCTGCCATTTCACGCATTTTGCTGCTCCGGGGCTCTCCCAAAACTGGCGCACCTCCGGAGCAAAGATTTGCGCGTCCCGGAGAGGGGTCCCATTCCGGAGAGGGGTCCCTCCGGGACGCGCAAATCTCTGCTCCGGAGGTGCGCAGTTGAGAGCCTCGGAGCAGCAAAATGCGGGGCAGGGCTCCGGAGCACTCTAAAGCCGAAGTGGCAGACTCGCGCCATTTCCCACCGGAGGTATCCCTTCGACTGTCTGAAAAGTGGGAAGGAATGGTTAGTTCTATCATGTCATATTGATAGCGAAGCCTGATATCCCAACTGATTGTCAATATAAAAATACAGTGCGGCCGAGGGAAGGAGGCGGGGGGGGGAGGACATTGGGTCAGGAAGTTTTTGAAAAATACTTACGTGAGTAATAACTGCGCAAGTTACTTGTTTATACTTGTAAATAATTAGAAAGATTTTTGAAATTCATCTGAAAATACAAATTAGCCTGCGACGATCACGCCCTCTTCTTTTGAGATATTGGGGTTGTAAGATCGCAAAAATGACAATCATCCCAGAAAAAAACTTTCTGCCTAGCTATCTCGTTGCGCCGCCGGAAGGAAATCTGCGACTACCACTGATATATACCACTTTCTTCAATGCATGAGATCACAGAAATTTCTAGGGTAAACAGTTTACTGCTCAGGAAAGGTATTAGGTTGTCCCAAAGGAAACCGTATTTCTAAATAAACCGAACTGTTTTTGTTCTCCTAGTAGAATTAGAGCATTATTCCATAGAGCGAAGCAAACTCTACAAAATGACCTCAAAGGATGCGCCTATGTCATAATCCAGGTAAAGTTTGGAACAAAAATCGAAAAAAAATTTATTACCTGAAAATTGGATTTCTGCGAAGACTATCGTACGGAACTCAAACTTGGTTTTTATCAGTAAGGCACATAGTAGTACTCAAATATACCTTTACCGGATTTTTTTTTTCGAGCTTAGAAAGCGAGAAAAAAATGGTATGAAATTGGCAAACTCCGCCCCAACAACTCCCACATATGCCATTGTATACTACAAGCCTACCAAGTATAATATTGAAACTTTAGCCCCGTATGTCCTCTTATGATGGAGAAATACCAAGTTTTCCATGACAAACTCGAAAAAAGTGGCATTTTGGCATTTTCGGACCACCTTTTTTTTCTCAATTTTGAACTCCGAAAAAAAAAATGAACCAAAAACACTTTTGGATACTATTATGTGTCTACTATATTAAGACCGAGTTGGAAGTCCGTAGGAATTCTCTGGGGGAGACGGCTCTTCTGAACCGCTAGCATTAGCAGCCTAATTACTGCGCGCCTCTAATTGGTCGCGCTGCCGCGGGACTTGGGTAGGCGAGAGCTATGCTGTCGTTAGAGACGTCTGAATTGGATTGCAAAGGCTTGATAAAAAGAATTAAGCAATTGAACAAGATTTCGAGTTTCCCATGAAACTCAAAAATGTTATACGTGGGCGGCTTAGGTAAATTCTTCAGCTTACACATGCAGACTTCACGGTGTTTTCAAAAGTGGGAAGGACGAAGAAATCACGAAAGGCCAGTAAAAAAAACATGCAACTTTTCCAAAATTTTGTCTTCATAATCCAAACATCGTCACTATCATTATTCGTGTGCCTCGCTTGCTTTGGAAGGCTCAGAAATATTTGAAATCTTTGGTAGGTTATAAGGAGGAGTAATTAGCGCCGCCCGGGCAGAGTAATTAGCGCGACGAAGCGGTTCAGAAGGGCATACACCCATTCTCTGGAAGGAGACCCGATTTTTAGGGTAGCTGAAAATATTTGATTTTAAATCCAAATTTTACCTGGATTGCGACTTACAAGGGAAGCTTGTTTAGTCGAAGTGACCTTTCCAAATGAGATATATACCATGTTAAAGGGCATAAAACGCTGACTCCAAATCTGCCTTCCTTATCTGCAGAACGTTTATGGACGAGGAGTTACGAACGTTTTTTGGAGCCAAAAATTGAATGCGCATTTGGGGTAAATTGATTTGTTAAAATCTTACTAGCCCTCAAATAATGCAACCAAGTGTGATATATTTTTTATTTGAGAGTATCTTCTAAATAAAGTTCTCTGATGATTAACACTGCTCCATTAAAGGGCTAGAAAAAGTATTGCGGCTATTTTTGTGCTGCCTGCACATTCAATTTTTTGCCTCAATAAGAGCTCATAACTCCTCGTCCAAAAACGTTCTGCAGATAAGGAGGGCAGGTTAAAATCAGCATTTTATGCCCTTCAATATGGTATACATTCCATCTAAAAAAGCCATTTTGACTAAACAAGCATTCCTTGTTAGACGGTTTTTAGTGGTCATTTTGTAGAGCTTGCTTCGCCCTATTGAATGGTGCCCCAAGTCTGTTTTCAATATCTTTCTTCTCTGAAGATAGTCAATTCTTTGGTACAGTATGAAAAAGGTTGTCTTTTATCATAAAACACTGCTGCTGGGAAACCGAATACGACCAAAAAACATGGCACAAAAACTGCGAGCAATCGAATACTGGCACAAAACCCTAACGCGGGCCTAAAGCTCTAATAACTTTAGATCACTCCTTCTTCAGCTAGAATTTCATGTGATTATAACAAAATAAATCAATTATTGGATATTGGAGAGTAGTCATAACTCACTATAGCTAGTACCTTGACTCGAACTTGAAATAATTATAAAGGGTAAACTGGCGGGACAAAAAACATGCTTTTGCGCTGTGACGCAACATCGATAACCCCTGAAACCCATCTCATTTTGATCTCCAAGGTTTTCTGTACATAAGAAACCAGGAGATCGTAGATTTTATCTGAGAGCTATTTTAGGGAATTTCGGAGGACAGCACTTTTACTTTTTGCGCTCCCTATATTTTGAATGAAAGGTCTTACTCGGTGGTAGAGCTTGTTTCCAGCGATGTACAGGTTGGGAAGATAGGGACCCGATCGATGATCAGATACGCCAAACGGTAACCGAATCAGGCCGATACCACGCGGTCGCAGAGCAGAAGAGACTGCAAGTTCAGGTGAAGGAAGAAAAAGATCGTCATTTATTACAGTGACTGAACAACACTGGCTTACTTTTGAGTGACAGTAGTAACGCCAGCGACGAAATGTGGTTCTTCATGATGCACCGGCAGGCTCTAAACTATTACTAGAATCCAAAGCGAGAAAATTCAGACATGAGCAGTGCTCAGCCATAAGATTCTGTCCAACTGGAAGAATTTGTAAATTAAAGGACGTAAATTACCCAAGTGAAAGCTAGCGATGTGATATATTGCGACCAGACGAGAAATCGCTCGCACTTTCGCGCTTTCGCATCCGCTGACGGACATTGAAAACTGAAATCACATAAGATGATACTTTTGAAAAATTACCACCTCTTCTGTGATGATCTGCAGGCAATCTTGACTAAAAATTGGTAAGACTAAATTCAATGATCTGATGGTCAAATGTTATTGTTTACAACTGAGAACACACATTCAGATTTTTTCGAAAGCATTTATGTTTAAGTTTTTTTTTCTAACATAATACAGATCAGCGAGAGACATACTGATTACTCGAAAATAATTCACACACCGATGAGTCCACACGACTTGAATTTTAAGTTGCAAAATATATATTATAAAGATATTGTATCAGTCGAGTGTTGAGCTTCGAACGATGCATGAGAAGCTGAAATGCCAGCTTACTGCACAAAAAGTCATGAAGGAAAAAGGCCGCTGCAGCAGTGTTGCGAAGTGCTAAGACAAATACTAAAACGAATTGAAACGTACGGGAAGTAAAATTTTGCCGGAATTCTTACACGCTTAAAAGAACTTCCCAATGACGATTGAAGTGCTGTCGAGCGCACGGACTAACCGTAGACTGCGGGCGCAGAGCGAGTGAAGAATGTATAATTAGAGCACGACTTGTACGATAGCGATTTGTAGTGGTACGGGCATTTACCGCGCGGCGCTTGCTCCGCAATCTATAACGAGCCCGTGTCGGTGCTTGTCGATACAGAAAGCCTTATTCTTGTAGTCTGAATAAAATTTAAAGTGAAAAATCCAATTGCGATAGCGTACTTGGCTACGAGATTCAAAAATACCCACAAGAGCCATAGAGAAAATCTGTCAGTCAGCGGCAATTTTCTGAGACGCATATGAGATAGCCAACGACTGAAAGTGCTTACAATATTCAAGCGGTTTTGGTTTGCACACGGAAAGCAGCTGTAAGAGTCATTTGGAAAAATCTGCAAATAATATAGCCATTACAAAGAATCAATACCTACAAGGCTTGGCTTCTTTTGTATGTTCGTCCTAAAATGTAGGAAAGAATTATGGAATTTGAATTCGTAGACGTTAACTTTAGAAAGGGGTGTATGTCTATTTAGTCTCTGATATCGTCGTTTTCAAGTCATCAGTGACAGACCTAAAATGATAGAAAAAATTAAGGGATCTGAAACTTCGAGACCGACCGCTTTCGATAAGCTATTTTCGCTAGAGAATATTGATTACTAACGATTTATTGAATTTTTTCCGCATTATGCTCTGAAGGGCTAAGATTTGGTAGAAGGAGGTAGGCAAGCCCGCCAAATGAAAAATCCACCATTTCTGCAGTGAATTGGTTATTCCACACTTATGTCTTTTTTATTCTGGCGCGCAGCTAAGATGCTAATTATCATATTAGGAGAAAGTCTCTTCTTAGCGAAGAAAGCAAATTTGGGGTCAGATTACTGGTTGAAGAAGAACTTGAGAAAATTTGTGAACAAAAAAAAATCAAGTGTTTCTTGGCTCAACAGTGCCACTAAACGAGACAAAAAGCCAGTCTTTAGCAGTGCTGATTTGAAAATATATAAATAAGCTTTTGCTCTGCACTTCTATAACTTTACGCAAAAAGATGAGTACTATATTGAACGTTACAAAATCCTCCATCTCACATCAACCGTTTCTTCATTCTTGTGGTTGGCAGACAAATGCCATGAACTTCCAGAATTTCTTATCTATTTTAGACGTTCACTTCTCCCAAAAGTGAGCCAGTACATCTATTCAAATGCCATACGTATGACTGGACCAAGCTCCACAGTTACGAGTCAGCAATCACTCCCACTTGCACTTTCTTACTAGTCAGTCAATTTATAAGCGTATCTTCAACATCTGCAATTCACTTTCTCCAACATGTTCCCAGTGATATAACTGATCAAGCAGTTATCTAACGTCTTCGTTTGATTGTCAGGTCTCAACAGACCTAAACAATAATGCACTATAGCTTGCTCAAGAACATTTCAAATTACAGGATACACATATGGCGGAGTTTTTACCACATTTAACATTTGACATAGGAATTAGCTTTTTTACTGTAAGGCCCGTATGCACGTACATCCCCGCGGGGAGGGGATGTGCGCTTAACCATTGAAATGATCCCCGCTGGGGATCCCTTCCCCTCCCCGCGCGAACCCCCGTATGCACAAAGACAATATCGGACAAGGGATCCCCTGTGGGGAGGGGAAGTGAACCCCCTTATGCACAAGAGGGGATCAAGCGGGGAAACCACCTTGCTTTCAAATTTTCTACAAAAAAATCTTTCTTATTTCATATTTTGACTGCAACTTATCTTCGTCTCATCACTTTCAATAATTTAGGGTTGCGGAATGCGCGTATGCAGTGACTGCGCTCGGGGCACTAAAAATGATTTTTTCTACTCCCATTATGTTCCTGCTTTCTTGGATGCTGCCCACTTTCGCTCATGCTGCCCCATTTCAGCGTAAAAATGTTGAACTATAGAAGTTGATGTGTCTCTGCAAGGGAATGGGTAGAAGACATTATGCTGCCGAAAAGGGGGGGGGGGTGCCGCGCGGACGCTCAAAGCAGTATTCTAACACATAACAAAAGCGGCAAATTGTGCCAGTTCTCCATAAACGCTGTAGCTATCAGCAGCATATCGTCCTTCATCCCAGGGGAATGATCCCCAGCGGCCATCCCTGCTATGCACAAGGGGAACGCTGGGGAGGGGATCACTCCCCAGGGGATTTCTACTCAGAAATAGGCAAATGTGCTACTTTCTAGATTTTTTCGAGGCAGCTTATGTTAAAATAACAAGATAATGGCAACATGTCATGAAATATGAAAGTTACAAAGTGTTTACTCAGCCTATATAGTTAAAACTATTATGTTTTATGAAAAATGCGCAAATTTTCTGAATGATCAAGAACTCCTACAAATAATCGAAACTGGCTGCTATTATTGCTCGGATTCCTTCTCAAGAGGCGAATATAGAAAAGAAAGACAAATTGCAAGCCACAGGTCGCTGAGAGAAGAACCCGGCTTTCAAAGAAAACCCTCCGTCAAAATGAACGAAATGCTTGGTAATGACTGAGCAGAACCAGAATATCCGCGTCTCTAGCATGATGTACACCATCAAACCCCTACTTCTTTTCAGGGGATGTCGATCCCCTCCCCCGCGTTAATGAGTTGAATTCGCGCATACGGGGTTCGAGTGGGGGAAGGGAAGGGATCCCCTCCCCCATTCGAACCCCGTATGCACTGGGGTTCGCTCGATCAATACCTCTGAAACCATTCACATCATCCCCGCTTAGGTGCAGGGGAGGGGATCGCTCCCCTCCCCTCTGTCATGGCGGGGTTCGGCGGAGGGGATCGTTCCCCTGGGGATCCAGCTCCCCTCCCCTCCCCAGCGGGGATGTACGTGCATACGGGCCTAAGAGTCCCAGTTCTTCAGAAGATGAGTGGCTGCGACTCTCAATTTGCAAACCTATAGAGGCTCGGCGCAAGATTACAGTCTGTCCCATCAAAACCAGGCCGAAATTGTCATGGCCAGGGCTCGGCACAGGTGGCTTACAAGCAAGCTGGATATCGTTTTTGGGACGAAAAGCAAAGGGGGTTTCGTTTTTGTGAGCGAAGATATACGGAAAATTGACGACGGCGACCTTTTTTTTTAGTCGACGTTTCGTTTTTTGAGGGATTTTCGGGAATTTTTCAGGTTTTTAGAAGAAATTTGGTTCAGGGTCAAAGGGGACTTCGTTTTTTCCATTTTCATCTAGCCACCTCGTGCCGAGCCCTGGTCATGGCGCGAGTTCGTGTCGCGAAAGCATTGCGTCAAATCTCCGGCTAACATGTCTACTCTCTTCTCAGTCCCTTCACTATTACCGATAGCGCGCGTATGCAGCACTAACTGCTAGCGCTGCGAGCGCGCAATTTCAGTCTGGCTGCCTCATCTCGATTGGGATAGACTGTATGGTTTCATCTGCAGGATAATGCAATTTTTGCAGTGCATTTAACAATCACAAATTCTGGCAAAAATTTTACAAGCAAACATGGAAATGAACTGATATATTACAAGTTTGAGTAACCCAGGATTATCTGTTGGACTTGCAAAGCTATTTGGTTCCAACGCCTGTAAAATACTTTTATTATTGCAGAAAAACCAATTTTGAGCCCAGGAAGACATATATGGACAAACTAAACCATAATAAAGCGCAAATTTCATTACGAAAAAGCATAATGACGAGATGATCATTGGCATGGACCGAGACAGAGAGCAATTCGAGAACTTGGCTGAATAAAAAAGAAAGTAATGGATAGAAAAAGCACCAAAGAAACCGATATATGAGCTAACTACTTATACTGCAACTGTAGAGATAGAAATTCTAATAAAAATAATATCTCAATGGATGGCATTTTGAGCCTGAATGGCTTTGGAAGATCGATGGAGATGATTCAATGAGAAGAGAGGCGAGAGATGTACGAAGGCAAAAAGACCGTAGATTCGATAAGATCAGCATAACGGATGGCTCAATGACACGACTACACATTCTTCACTATGGAAGGACTAAAAATTCATTTGGAATAACACTAGAACGTGACCCTTGCGTGGATCCTAGAAAAAAATACAACAACAGCACGAGCAGTTTGCGATACTTGCCGCGAAAGGCGAGAACGGGCAGCTATTAGATGTTACACAAGCATACATAATGTAGTTACAGTAATGCGGCGCGTAAATACGTTCACCATCACACTACTACTTAGAGATCAATCGACCGATTTTCGCTTCTCGTATGCAGTATAAACGCTTTGACGGACACTACAAGTTCACTAATATGGATGATAAGAGGACATAGAAGGCGGACATGAGGGGAGGATCGTGACAGAATCAATAATTTACCGACTTATAGTTCAGTGTGAGATATTTTATGCAGATCCTCTCCGTAGTTGGTGGCTTCGGAACCAACAAATAGCTGATGAGCATCCAGTATCTCATTAATACTCAATTTTCCATCCTACAACACGAAAAAATGAGAACAAGTTGTTTATCAAAGGAAAGCGAACTCACTTTGTTTTTATCTGCACCACTGATAAGATGTGAGGCTTCTTGTTTGGCGACCATTTTTACATCAGGGATCAACCAACGACGCACTTCTTCACCACGCAAAACACCATCACCATCGATGTCGTACTCCTTCATAAATCTAAATTCGATTAATTTGACTGGTTTTCAGACAGAATACCTGGCAGATCCCCTGTTCAAATTACTGAGGAGTCAGGTGTGATCGCGCGACTACTTGTAAACCATGCTACAACAACTAGATGCAGAGCAGACGTGCGAGGGTCCAAAGTGGTTTTGCAATAGGCACTTACACCAACTCGCTCTCTGGCTGTTTAGAGAGTTAAAACTTTCCCGTATCTCCGCTGTTCTTAATGAGAGATGAACTTAGACATACATAGGTATACTTAACAGTTAAGCTGCTAGACATATGACTTCAATCAAATCAAATTACTTATTCTTCCGATGTCGCTGATTTCACAAACACACGAAGTCACACGATCAGACGAGGTGGCTGACTGTAAACTTGCATCGTATTCTTCCAATATATATTCTAGTGAGATGAGTTACAGTGTGGAGCTCTAATGCCTAATTTGTATAGAGTCACGTTAGGTATGAACGCATCCTCTTATTGAAGACCAGCATTTTCGAAAGACAAAGGTAGAAACCCAATTCAAAAACAATAAAAACAGTAGTTCTATTCTGCACTCAAATTCATCCTTTCTGCAATTGCCACCAAATTTCGAAAGTCTGTATTCCGGCGCAAAAGCAAATTCTTACCTCTCACGAGATTGCTTCAAAAATTCTTTCTTAATGATATTTTGCAGCCGCCATATGTTGAAGTCAGTGTATGACATGAAATCGCAAGAAAAACAACCAGCCTAGTCTCAGTCCGTCAGATACAACTAGTTAAATTCAATCATATTATGGTCGTAGATCAGAGTACAACATTTCAAGTATAGTTGCTGTCTGTATATGAGTCCATATGTAACGAAGACTTGGAATATAAATTCCAAAATTCAAAGAATAAATAATAACCAGATTTCAACGTCGAAAAATACAAATTTTGCTGAAGTGCGGTTCATAATTACCCGAATACCCCATATTTCGGGGGTTGTGGGATTCCTTCGAAAAACCTCAAAAACCGCTGGTGATGTGAAAGACCATAAACCGGAAACGGTATACGCGGCACAAGAAGGTGTGTGGTTCATAATTATACCAACACCTCAACGAGCCTCGTTTTTTCATTCAAAATTGCAATCTTTCGAGTCAAAATTTTTGTGAAGTTACATTAACCAAGTTTGAGGTATCTGCTACACACTGAACCCAGCACAGTTAACTAATTGTAAGAGAAGAGCACAGTTAACTAATTGTAAGAGAAGCGTCACTCTTCTCATATGGCTCAAAATGCCTTGGGGTCACTGTGCTCTAAAAACGTGTTTTTAGAGTGATTTCTGTAATTCAAGAACTATAGATAGCTTCTAACAATGCTATAAGATAAATTAAGCTTTGTCGATAAATAATTTGTTTGAGGCTTAGAAAATCCCTGCGTTTTCGCGCGTTTTTTTTAACCAAGTTCTAAACTAACTCTAAAGCAGCACCAAGCCTCAAAACCAGCTTCTGTTTGGCGCAAAAAATTGCGATGTAGCTGTATTTTTGCATGATGATGTATCCATGCTAAAGTTCTAGGGTTTTTGGGACTAATCATGAGGCTACGGAGCAAAAAAGTAAGTAAATGTGTAATTACAATAATAAAAAGAGTGATTTCGGTGGAATGATGCCTGCGTGTCCGAAATAATCGCTCAACGTTGCTGATTTCCTCTAGTTAAATACATAAGCTGAAGAACTTCTACGTACTATGTGCTTACTTTATCGTAGGACTTCAAAAGCTTTCCGGCGACTGTACGTTTCATACATCGACTGGCGATTGGCGACAGCCCATCGCCCCTTATAGCACAAAAATCGCCCCTTTTGCACCTATCTAATGCATATCGATCGAGGGGAGGCTCCCGACGAGTATAGGGCGTAAAGGGCCTGCCTAACAAACAAATTCCCACTTTTGCATGAACATGGGCATTAAACCCAGTTGCTTCGCTGTGCGAAGAATGTGACTCGAGCCTGTAGCAAGTGAGTTTTCTAGTATAAGGAGGTGAATTGCGATTGTGGCCCCGATAGGGCCGGGGATACAAGCTCAAATACGGAATCAAGCATAATAACATGGGCTCTTGAGAAACGATATAGTTAGAGGATGGTTATCAGTTCTTTAAATAGCAAAATCACGGCGGACGAAAGATTTTCTGTATAAACAAAGTAGCTTCCAGGCAGACAAAGGAAAGAAAGCACAGCACATGCCCATCCCCATTTGCTCAAAAATTTTCGTCGCCTCAGATTTTATTGATAACGACTCTGAAATTTCGACATCCTCCAGTAGCATATAACGGGATCCAACACATCCGGAGAAATTCAATATGCCCTTCTGAGCTTCTTTCTATTGTCTCGATTATTCTTCAGCTACAAAAAGTCAGGAAGTTCACTATGTTCAAATATGAGTGAAAGTTAAAGGCAGTGTCTCACCAAAGTTGGGGTCGCGCGGATCTTCACATATTCTATCATAGGGACCTCTAGATAGGCCATTGCAACAGGTCCCACTCAATTTGACCCCCTCCACGCTGAGAAAAATTCCCTTAAAGTGGTACGCGGAGAGCGACTTGGTACGCGCGGACGACTCCTTCAGTCTCCCCCCTTACGCGTTTGAACATGTCCTCCACTTGGCATCCACCTCCCCTCTGTTGCCGCCACTGTGGATGAGGCTGAAGTTGGAAGGTACAACTCGTCCGCGGTGCTTCCTCGGGACCCCCAGAAAACGGGGTTTTTGGGAACTTCGTGCGATTTTAAGCCCATACAGTGCTGGACAGGGTCCGACAGGCTTGCAAAATGCAGAAATCTCAGCAAGTAAATTTTGGTGAGACACTGCCTTTAAGATGTGATTCATTTTCTGTTGCATAACTTGTTCTTTTTGCTTCTCGAATTTCACTTACATGCAATATCATACTGCCTCTTTGATAAACGGCAAAGAGACACTGTGATGTTGTATGATAATTGGAATTCGTGAAGCAAAAATGGCAATGGCGAACGGCATTTGCTGACGGTGATAGAAATTACACGATTCCAATGATGAAACAGCACACGCATGAAGTTCTACAAAATCAGCAGCTTCTTCCAAAAATAATCATAGTTAATTCGCTTTCCTAGTGAAGAAGTGTGATGGAGGAGCCAAACCCTTTCATTTAAATGTAGCTCAAGCTACCTTCAAATTACAAGGTGATCATAATGTGAAAAAAAAAACCAATGTCGAGAGAGGAGAGATTAGCAAATCTGTTCACGTCACTCTCTACAATTTTTGTGAACATTCCTGTTAGCTGCTCCTGGATGGATTTTATTGAAGAAGGCGCAGAATTTCCAAGTTCGCACAAAAGTATGGCCAAAAAACCGTTCCGAGATGTTCTTCAAGAATCCGGTCTTCGGCGATGACTTCACAAAACAGCCTGGTTTTTTCGCGGTAAGATACAAGACAGATTCAGTAAAACATAATAGTAAAACAGTAAAGACGCCACAGGATCCCTTTTATTGATTCATAGAAGCAGAGTATCAAAAACTCGTTATGCTACTGCTCTAATCTAACAGTTCTATAATATTCCATTTTCTCCTTACTATTAAGCGTAATATAAGTAGGAACTTTCACTGGGAATTTTTCCCCTTGAAGTTGTGTGAAGAGTTGCGGCTTACAGACAATCCTGCACATAAAGTGTTCAGTTTTCAAACCCCAGATATCCGAACAATTCTTGATTTCTGACTTGCATCACCAAAGAGCTTATACTCCCCGAAGTCCATAAGCAATCGAATGAAAGAAAAACAATGAGAGGATTTTGAAATATGAAGAAAAATGAATGTAATAATTGTGTTAAAAAATCGTGAAAATAAAAATGATGCTAGATATGGCTGTTTAGGGCCCTCCCTGAACGTCAAACCTGAGACTTGACTGAATTTTCTGGTTTTTCAGAATGACAAAAAAGTTAACAAAAATATTAGAACCTAATACCTGCTTAGAGTATAGGAATACTACCTCAGCAAGTTATCTCTAGTCCGTCTCTCATCTCTCATTATCATTTTTTTTGTCAGTAACAGCTTCTCCTGCCGTAGTGAAAGGGTCGCCCCAATGTTGAGGAAAGGACTGGTCACAAACTATTAACCTGCTCGATTCTCTTGAAAGTACAGAGGAGAAAGAGTGATCAAAATTGCGCATCGACGACCAAATTTGCGAACAGGCCTGCAACTCGCTCAATTCATCCGTAAGCAGAAATGGCAAGCTTTTGCAGCCTCTATCTGCCCTCTCTGCAAAGTATGCAACATTTCGGAGTCCAGTGCCAAGTATGCATGTTTACCAGTTCCTTTAAACCGCTTGCCTAGCCTATTACTGATCAATAGATAATCTGCATAGGTTGAGTTCCTGAAAGTTTTCCTGTTTCAGTGTTTATCTCGGATTTCCTAGTTTTCTCTATTTCGTGCCTCAAATGCTCTACTCCGAACAAATAACCGCAACGAATTTTCAGCCTGTAAACAAATTCAGGATACAAGATGCATTTAATTTTTTTCAAACAAACATCTCGGCCGATCCACTTTGCCTCGCAAAATGGTTTTTCTAAGTAAGAAGCAGTACGTATCTAGAAGGTCTTTTGCTCGCGAAATTTTTCTATTGTGTTCAGCCTGTCGTGTTTAGGGAAAAAAATATTAGGTCGGTCCGAAAGTTCACGCTGTTTTTCAGATCCATGTTCAAACCTTTTAGAATAAAGATGGACAAACGCTGTAAGCACTATCCGATGCAGAACTTCTTCCTCTTTCTGATGTTATGTTTATGTTCAGATTCCCTTGATGTCCGTTCAATAATCGGCAGGGATCTCCAACCCATGATTCAATCTTGAGTTTGGATATTTTTTAAAATTTCCCTTTTCAACTTTTGAACTACCTTCGATAACAGTTGGATAGGATAAAGAAAATGCAATACAATGAATTTTTTGGCTTCATCAACTAAGTTTTCAGTATTTTTCAGAATAATTTCCTCAAAAACCCTTACTTTTGAGAAGTCGCGAAATACACAATCGCTTTAGAAACTGACAAATTTTTGGAATTTGAGGCCCCTAAAAACAGCTTAACACTTAACGCTGATTTTAGCGAACAACTGAGCGTTTATCGGTTCAAAATTTTGGATTCCAAATTCTCTGTTTACAGCCTGGGAACGAGCCTGGGAACAATAATTAACAATAATTAACAATGATCTTATCTCCAGCTATTTTACGAATCAGGAAGAAAAAGTATCAGAAAGGAAAGAAAAAGCTGCATCGAATGACACCCTGCTTGCTAGTTGTTTATTGTGAATTGAGGTGCACAAATATGTGAATGGCATCAAAAAAATATTTTTAAATGTTTGAGAAGCCAGCTAGAGATGCCAAAAAACTGAATTGTATTGCATTTTGCTTATTCTATCCAACTGCTATCAATGCTAGTCCAAAAGTTGGAAATAGGAATTTTAAACAATATCCAAACTCAAGATGGAATCATGGGTTGGAGATCCCTGCCGATTATTGAGCGGACACCAAGGATATCTGAACAAAAACATAACGTTAGAAAGAGGAAGAAATTCTGCATCGCATAGTGCTTACAGCACTTGTCCATCTTATTCTAAGTGATTTGAACATTGGTCTGAAAAACAGCGCGAACTTAAGGACCGAGTTAATATGTGCGTCTTGAACTCGTGGAATCAAAGTAAGAATATCTAACGAACAGCCTTCAGTTCATCATCCCGCTACCTCCATGATAAATCATAGGCAGACAGTAGCATCATTAGAATTTCTCTTGCAAGAAAAGCTGACAAGGACATCTTATACTGAGTAAAATTCAAGCTCCACGCATGTGTGCGAGGAAGCATCGAGCTTCCAGATAGCATGCAAGCAAAGACGGTGCAATCGAGGCGCAAATAGCGTTGAGGCATAGGCAATGTTCTTCGCCACTGTCGATACTACTGCAGCTCTGACTGTCACCATCATAACGTACCCGCTGCATTCCTACGAATCAATCATCCCGCAAAAATGTTTTGTGATTGAAAAATGAAACACTCAGTTCTGAGCAAATCCGAAAATCGATTTCAAAATCCCCAAAGAAACCTAACTCGCAAATGAGAGATGGGAATAGGGGATTTACCAAAGGCATGACAGAGGAACGTGAATGAAGGAAAGGGTCCACATAAAGAAAACAGAGACATACTCAGTGACTGCATCGAGAACAATGATGAGGCGCTCTGACTGATGCACAGCGGCACATGAATGTACACAAAATGTTCTCTCGACCCCGCCCCTTCACTGTGCACGTGGAATTAGAAACTAACCTGTCTGACTCGACCTTATGCCACTCGCTTTGTGAGTTGTCAGCCATTTCACCAAGGAACTCGTTCAAGTTAATGGCGCCATCCTTATTCAGATCCTTCTCTTTCATTGTTACCTCAAATGAAGCCGATATCAAGAAGTACTTCAGAAAGGTTATGCTGCGTCACGTAGCTGACAAATGACATAACGAATTAACGAATCCGCCAAATTGTTTGGCATTACTTTCTAGCCTGCGTGAGAGAGAAACACCTCCATTCAAGTGCTGTTACATTACTAATGCGCAGGCATCAGACTGTTATCAATTCGTTATCAGTGCGCGGGGTCGATGGCGGTGGCTAACCAACAGGAATCGATAACCCACATCAACGAGTATCTTGTGCATGTGTGCGTAGTTCTCTGGATTAAGAAAAGCGCTCAGTTCTTCTTTATTAAGCTTTCCGTCCTTATCTACGTCCGCTGCTGGAAAAAAAAGTTTACTCAAACTGAAAACAGAGCTAAGAGTTACCTTTGAAGTACATTGCGTCCTCATCCATCAACTTTTTATCATCGGGGTCGAGTTTCTTGATATCTTGTTCGGGGAACGAGTCGGCCACGTACTCATCCCATGAAACCTGAACGATCGATACATGGACGCGCTGAAGCGATGGGAAAAGCTCCGCAATCGTTACAAACAATGGTAAAACAAAGTGTGTTCAACAGATCGAATACTCAGCATATGTCAGAAATGAAGAAGCGTGTGCTAAAAATCTTGTGACTTGCGATCTCTCACCAATTTATCTCCGTCCGTATCCATTTCGGTCATTCGTTCATTGACCTCCTCTTCGTCTAATGACACCATTGATCGCTCCACCCAATTTGTCAATTCGTTTTCATCTGAGAATTGTGATAAGATCATGTAATATGTAGATAACTATCGAAATGTGTAAAAAAAGTGCATTGAATGATGTTGAAAATAATGGACAAAAAAGCACATGCACAGCTTTCTATTTATTCTGAACGAGTCAAGATCATCAACAGTACTCTTTTAACGGCTAGACTGTTCACCTCCAATCAAAACAACCGATAACCTCGGAAGCAAAATAGGAAGTAACATAAAAGTTCGCTTCATTTGAATAAAGGCGACAAAAAGCTGTTCGAAAATGCAAGGGATTGCGAATGCAAAGGCTCGCCTGTAAGATTATCAAAATGTCACGTCTTCAAAATCAGTGACAGATATTGAACGTGTAAATTAACAGCCACAGCAAATTTCTGGGTCAGGTCCTAGCACTAGTGGCATATGCTAGGCTGGAAGTCGTACTCGGAGAAAAAGCAAAACGTCTTACGCATATCCGTACCCCCAAACATTGAGAACGGATCACGGCACACATCAGCGCGAAAATTTCACGATCGTCGCTCCGCGATATTCACTAGGCCATGTTCCAGCCTCAGTCAGAGCTATCTGCGCAATGTAACTTATGGCAAGAAGTCATATTTTGCCGCTACTCTCTCCCCTGCTCTGGCGCCGTACCACTTCAACACCAGAGAGTTTTTAGGAGGCACGAGATATTAGCACGGTACGGCAAAACGACCGCCGTGCGCTGCGTGGTTCCGAAGTGTGGCCTCAAATATTCTCAGCATAACGAAGAACCTATTGCACTACTGATGGGCACAAACACGATATGCTCAAGGGGAAAGCTTAAAAATAAGTGCATCTTGATTGAATGATAAAGAATTGAACTGTTTACGACGCATGGGAGACAACGATATGGCGCCAAATTTGGTATAGTAAGTTTCAACCAGGTTTAAGCGGAAAGTGGAATGGCGGGAGTCCGCTTCCAACGATTAGCGCCGCTTTGCAGTCTGCGTCTCTTCATTCTAATCTATCTCGCTGAGCCAGTGGCGGCGCGCTGCTCCACTAGAATTTTCGCCTACTTCGGGTAGAAAAAGACTGTATGTGAGGGCTGACAAGGACAAATGCTGAAGATTGTGATGAAATTATGTTCGTAAATATTGTGGCGAGTTTTCTTTCTGGAGATTTCCCACTACAGAATAATGGAGAAAAGTACTTTAACACATTTACGACAATAACCCACCGGTGGGTTGTACGTGTTCTGCCGTTTCGAACAATACGACCCACCAATGGGCCATAAGATTAGTGAAGCTCTAGCTTTGCCAGTTTGATGGAACTCTATGGGGCTCTGATACATAGTTGGGACACCTTGGCGAAGCCTCAGCCAGATGGTCCGGGCTCGGGATAATGCAATGTAATGTGGGGTAGGTATACCGAAGATAGGGCACAGACTTAGCTCAATTTCGCGGAATGGTGCTGTATTTGAAAATAAGTTTACATGCACGAGAAGTACGGGGAGACACACGAGACTGATGTCAGCCCATCAAAAACCATCGAGTTTATCGATTTTATTGATTTTTTGCACTGTTCATCCCAGAAGGCTCAAACATTACATATATAGGTTTTACAGCATGCTGATTACGAAAATGATAGTCTCAAGTTCTAACTCAAGCCTTCTTACAGGAGTTTCTCAATTTTTACATTTTACCGTGCTGCTACCGTAGTCCCACTGTGGAAAAGTAGTGAACAAAGTGCACACTATAATCGTGCTCAGCACGTGAAATAACCCCAAAATACAATTTTTCATGAGAATATGATGTTGGGTGGCGGACTTTATGAACGATAGCGCGCGCTTAGGCAGGCGTGTGTCAATAAGGTGCGCACCGTTAGCCCCGCCTATCGCAAGATGGACGAGTTTCTTGCAGTACAGCTCTAGCGCTGGTTCATGGCCATGTTCCCTAGTCAAGTGAAAGCAACTTCTGATAGTTTAAGCGTGTTGCAGTCTTGGGTGAAGCTTGACTATTTACAGAATTTTGTTCTGCTTTTTTGTTTCTTTTTCTGTCAGTCATGAACAACTAATGTTTTGATCATGAAATTCAAGAGATTTGCTGATTTACCTATGAATGACCGAGTCACTCCTGGATATCCAACTTTGAAGTGTGAAATCAATCTAGAACACCTCAGGCATGATTGTCCGAGTGACCTCACATCTTAGGACTAGTTCACACGTAATTTCGATTGAGGTACAAATCAGTTTACACTGAGGGTAGCAGTTTTTGAAAGCAAAAAAAGAATTTTTTTATTTAAAGCAGATTCGAAAAAGTATAAGTGCAGTGTTTAATCGAAATCTTAAAGTCGACTGTTATCCAAATTGCAACCAACTGGAGAAGCATGAACGAAATATCAGAGAGTTTTTCAGTAGCTGCAATGCATTCCTAGGCTAATTAGCAAGAGGGCGGAGCGATCAGCGTACCGCGTACGGTACCCAGCTGGCGGCTGGCACATGCTATCGTTCATAAAGTCATACACCCTATGATGTTGGGTTCGTACAGAATGACTACCGTAACCTTGCCGTATAATCCCCAAAGCTGTAATAAATCATATCTTGATAATTAGCGCTTTCGATAACCCTTATGGGGAAATTCTCAGAACATTTTTCAATTTTTGCCAAAAAGACTGCCATTTCGGACATTACGACCCAAGGGTGGACGTAAGTTTAACAAAGCGAAAAAGGCTTTGGTTCAAAACGACAGTAATCGAAAAATCGGCCTTGTCGGGAATGTGCTAAACGCACATAAAGGGCAAAACCGGGGCCAGCTAATTGTGGTTGTGGCGGCTCTTTGTCACAGAGAGTGCTTAGCAATTCTCCCGAAACGGTCGATGCCTGCGTATGGAGCGTAGAAGCATATACGTTGCAAGTTACATGTCATATGACTGTGCCCAGATAAGAAGTAAAAAAGAACATGTGGAAGAATCTGACAAACTCTGGGATTTGAGCCAGATTTGCGGTTCAAAAGAATGCAAGGCAATTCATTTGAAAACAATCAATAAAAAAGTAAAGTAGCCCTACTCACCTATGAATCCATCCCCATTAGAATCCATTTTGAGCGCAAGTATCTCCAAACGTCTTTTAGATTCTTCAACTGGCATATCGTCAAATTCTTCAGCCGTTTTCCGGGATCCTGAAAAGTGAAACTCACAAATACAATATTCTCGTAGGGCTGCACCTTCCCCCTCCCCCACTAGTACAACGAGGACCACCTACGAGAGAGGGATAGTCAATCGAAGTCTGTGGAATGTATAATGTTGTAAAGCATGAACACTGATTCCAAATCTGCTTTGTTTATCTGGGGAACGCATCTCGGCAAAAGTTATGAGCGTCTATTGGAGTTAAGTGTCCAGATAGGATGAAACTATTCGAAACATTCTTCTGTGCACTTACATAGAAAATTGACAATCGTCAGAACACTACGTGCAACAGTACGACCAAAATGCAACCACTGTAAAATTGCAGTGGTTGTAGTGTGCTCTTTTAACAAGCTCAACGCTCACACCTGCATACAATCCTAGGAGAATGTTTACGGGACGATTTCACCGAATGCGCGTTCTATCCTTATTTGCCACAAAAACAATAGTAACTCCTTCCACAGATGTATTGAAAATGGTAATTTGGAAATGGCGTTTTTAATCTCCAGGATAATATACATCCTCTCTTAGAAGGCCATTTCGACTAGACTTGTTGGTGGCAGAAAGATCAATAACGCACGGCTCGCCGTTTCTAACGCTTTTCGACAAAGCAAAATCTCAGCAATGATATTGTACCGAATGATCAATCATGTGCCAGTTCTCGCGATGGTGAAAATAGAGATATCCGCTATACTTCTGGGAGTCGCCTAAACAAGACAGGCCGCAGTTAAAGGCAGCGGCTCGGCAGATTTTGCACTTCCATCTTTTTGCATGCTTTGGGCCTTCGCAACCCGTAGATCCCGAATCTGAGCTTTAAAAGGAATGAAAAAGCCTTTTTCGGGGCGTTTTTTTCGATTTCCAAAAGGCAGCTCGGACGAGAATTTTTCAAAGGGGAGTCGGGAGGCCCTGGCACGAAGACCCTGCTGCCTGTAATTTTGGCTTTGTATAGCATGCACAATGCGGGAAAGCGGTTGGAGGTCTTGCGCCGTCTAGCGGAGAATACTCGTCCGAACAAGGTGTTAGGGGAGCGAAAGGAGGAAGGAGAGCGACGCATGGGCCGCCCCCCTGGCTTGCAGAATTCATATTTTCGGCCCGGAGTTGCTCTTTTGGTTTACTTGGAGGGCCTCCTATCCGTCTGTGTCAAAATCTAAGGTAGGTCTATTCTGCCGAGCCGCTGCCTTTAAGGCTCTCGCCAGAGTGCCGAAGTTATGCCAGCGCTACGCCAGCATTTCGATCGATACACGTGTATTTCGTTGGGGACGTCAGCTAGCCCCGCCCCAACGAGATACACGTGTATCGATCGAAATGCTGGCGTAGCGCTGGCATAACTTCGGCGCTCTGGCGGGAGCCTAAAGGCAGTGTCCGGGCAAAAACTCGATTTTGAGATTTTGTGCTTACCCGGGCCTATTCGCTACTCTGAATCCGAAAATGCACATTGGAGAGAGCGAAAACGGCGAAAAACGGCTCTTACCACGAGGGAAATCAGCAGGTGGGCGCGGTCCCCCCACTGTAAATTCACGCTCCCATCCAGAGCGATTCTCTCGCTTACAATTTCATGTCAATCATTCGCACTTGACCGGTAGCGATGTTAGGAGGGCTAGCGGAATTGAGAAGACAGCTCTGGAAGCTGGGACCGTGAATTCACAGTGGGGAGGACCCCGCCCACTTGCGGTTTCCCTCCTGCGCTAAAGCTCTTTTTTGCCGTTTTCCCGCATTCCAATGTGGATTTTCGGATTCAGCGTCGCGAATAGGCTCGTATAAGCACAAAATCTCAAAATCGAGTTTTTGCCCTGACACTCCTTTAATGCCCTTAGACAGGATACTGCCGTATGCACGTACAGTTTGCCCCAATCCTAATCGGTCAACGTCGGCTAAATTTGCGTGCTCGCAACGCTAGAAGTTGTGCGCTGCATACGCGGAGCGAAGAGAGTGAAGAGAGAGAGCAGACTAGCTAGCTGTAGACGTGACGCGATACCCCACGGCGCGGACCCAGTCGTGCCAATTTTGGCCTGGTTGGGATTGGGGCAAACGTAGCACAGGTCATGTAACGGCAGGAAGGCCCCCTTCATATTCGGACACCGCCACCGTTTGCATTGCGCGATCATGACACACTTATAGGCAGTGTCCCTGTCGTAACCGACGCTACCGTGATTGCTATTCGATGATCTTGTACTGATGTTTCGTACGATTCCGCGAACCCCGTTCGCAAAACAGTGTTTTTGTCTTGTTTGCGATTGCATTCAACAAAGGAAGCTGCCAGCTGGCAGCCTTCCGAACACTTACAGTTTTGGCTCCTCCCTTTTGGGAGAGTCAGTTGTGACTGTCGGAGGACACCGTCTACACGAGATTCTAGCGTCGCATTTGACATCTTACCTTCAGAAGGAGAAGATTCCCGACCATTGGAGAACGTCAAGAACCATCCTTCTCTTCAAGAAGGGTGAACGGGAGGATCTTCGGAACTATCGTCCAATATGCCTGCTGAGTGTACTGTACAAGCTTTTCACGAAGATCATCCTCGCTCGCATATCAAGGACACTGAATGAAGCCCAACCCCAAGAACAAGCTGGATTTCGCAAAGGATTCAGCTGCATGGACCACATCCAGACCGTTTCGAGGGTCATAGAAGTCTGCCGGGAGTACCGACCGCCTCTCGTCCTAACCTTCGTCGACTACGAGAAAGCCTTCGACAGCGTCGAAACCAACGCCATGCTGTCAGCGCTAGTCGATCAAGGAGTGGACCCAGCCTACGTGAGGACACTAGCCAACTGCTACAAGGACTGTACAACAACGATACAGCTGTTCCATCGCCCCCTGACCATACCAATCGGGAAGGGGGTCCGACAAGGCGACACAATCTCGCCGAAGCTGTTCACCGCGGCCTTTCAGTGGGTGATGAAGTCACTGGACTGGGACGAGAGAGGCATACGAGTTGATGGGAGATTCCTGTCCCTTCGTTTCGCGGACGACATCGTTCTCTTCTCGAGCAGTATCACCAAAGCAGAGACGATGCTGAAGGAACTGAACGAAGTAGGGAAGAAGATCGGACTGCGAATAAATCGGAAGAAGACTCAGTTCATGAGGAACGCCCTTTGCGAAGATGCAGAAATGGAATTGAAAGGCACCCCTATTATGGAGGCGTCTTCTTACGTGTATCTGGGACGTTCGAGGAACATGGAGAACGACTTGAGGGAAGAACTTAACAGGAGAAGAAGAGCAGCCTGGGCCGCCTCCGGGCCTCTGAAGGAAGCCACCGACCAACTGACGGACCCGGAGCTTCGTGCCCACCTGTTCGACTCAACCGTTCTCCCGGCGCTCTGTTACGCAGCTGAGACTTGGGCCGATACTGTAGCCACGTCGAAAGCTTTACGGACCACCCACAGAGCGCTCGAGCGCAGTCTTCTGAAGATGACCCGACGCAAGCAACATCTAGTCGGACTTCGCAGCACGGATATGAGAAGGATGTCCCGTCTTCGTGACCCAGCGGAATACGTTGCGAAAGCCAAACACCGATGGGCCGGTCACATAATGAGAAGAACAGACGACAGATGGACACTAAGAACATCTGAGTGGACTCCTCGCGAAGCCAAACGTTCTCGAGGAAGACCACCAACGAGATGGGCAAACGTGTTCGTGGAACGGATGGACCAGCTGAGAAATCAGCTGGCTACGACTTTCGTCCCTGGAACTCGTGGACGCAGCCACCGACGACGGCCAAGAAGATCGTGGATGTCTGAAGCGAGGGACAGGGAAAAATGGCAACTTCTGCACTGGGGCCCGCACGTCACGTGAGGACGGGCCATCTAAGTATCTAAGTAAGTAAGTTGTGACTGAGTTGTAAGCCGGAGAGCCCGGCATTTTCGCAGTGTTTGTTACAGTTTGCCGGAGAACCCGGCTCGGAAATAAAGCAGTTAATCCATTCATGTTTAACAGAAGCACGGTAAAAACAAAAATCCACTAAACCCCAGCACATTTTCGTCAAATTCGCGCCCTGGGGGATATATCTGTGGGGGGGGGTTTCTGGTCACCCCACTGACCTCCAGGCACAATCCGGCTGGTTGATGTTCCCCTTGCACCGAGAATAACCTTCGAACTGGCGCGCTCGGACGGCTTTGTTTGCCTGTTCGGTGACCTCACGACCGCCCCGCATTGCGCATGCTATCCAAAGCAAAAACAGGGGGCAGAGTCTTCGTGCCGGGGCCTCTCAACTTTCCATTAGGCTGTGTTCATGTTGATCGGTAAGTTCCGGAACAGTTCCAACACAGCGCACAATTCGAGTGTTCTGTTTGGAACTTAAAGATCAGTATGAACTCAGCCTTACTTTCGCCCGAGCTGCATTTTGTAAACTGGGCAAACCCCAAAATCGATCTTTTCACTCGTTCAAAGCTCAAATTCGGGTTCTGCCTATCGAAAAGGCCTAAAACATGCAAAAGATGGAGAAAATTTGCCGGGACCCTGCATTTATGCGCTGAGATTCAAAACATGCACACCAAGTTAAAGTTGTTTCAACTGCAGTCACTGCAGCAACGACAGTCATCGATATCTATTGTCTGCCCTAATTTGCATGCAGTTGAGTCGCTGCAGCTACTGCAGTCTGAGGTCTCGGGCATACTTCACGCAACTGGTCTCCACGCGATCTGACAGTCTGCCAGATGTCTTTGAATGCAGTACTTGCAGACAATAAATGCACATATGTACAACTTTCGTAGGTTGATAAAGTGCCTTAGCTTCTGCGAATTCTTTTTTTTTTGCACTTGCAATGGATTAACAGTTGGAGTTCTGCCTAATCGCTTCGCAAATCGCGTGAAGTATGGCCGAGGCCTGAGAAATCCTTACCCCCAGTTGCTATTTATCACAATCACTTTGAAAACACCTAAGACTACATATGCGCTAGAAGGAAGGTATTAAATGAAATCAAGGGCTCTAGTGCAACTTCTCACTTCCACCCGAAACCATCTCACTAGGAAACGCTTCCAAAAACGCTTCATAGTGTAATGAG